TGCCGAGGTAAAAATAATTAGATTAATTAATCATAAATTACTTTTCCATTAACCAAATTAATCAGATTAGCTGATGTGTATTAATTTTCAGGGTGAGACGAGGGTATGCTCACGTGGCAAACAACAGGTATGATCAATGGTTGATGTATGCGATTGGTGGCAGTGCCAATCCCACCATTTTCAGTGAGGGTAACTATTTCATCGCCCCCGATAACCATAACAGCAAAGAGGTAACTAATTAATTAACCCTTTAATTTACTTAATTAACCCCCCCCCTAAGTATATATTTTCGCATGATTAAACTAAAAACTTGCACACATATATATACACAAAATATACACACACACACACATAAAATCCAGAGTGTATATATCCAAATGAACCAGGACTTTCTTCCAGATGTGAAGGATCGATCTATGTTTAAAATGTTATGCATATAGATATATATGTAAGAAGGGATGTGATCAAGTATTTGTATTGAAAACGTAATATATGAAAAGGTGACGAAGAGGGAAGTGAAAGGAGGGTGGCAGAATTGGAAATGGAGAACTTCGAAGGATGTTTTCAAGAACGGAGCATTCTTCATACCGTCGGGCTATGGAACCATCGTGCCGCTCTACACAGGACCGCAGAGATTCCCCGTGGCTCCGGGAAATATGGTCCCTTCCCTCACCTCCGACTCCGGCCCTCTCAGCTGCTACCGTGGCCGTCCATGTTACTAGACATATATATCTGCTTTTGTGTGTGTATGTGTGTATACGTATATCCAGATATACATACATATAGTATATACACATATATATATGCAGTTGTGACACGTTTTTTTAATTTTTTACTTTGTTTTTTTTTTTGTCTTGAGCTTTTGATTTTCTCATCTTCTGTGTTTTCTGGTATGAATTAGTGGATATGAAGGGTTGTGGATTCGATTAGCTTGATTATGAAAAGTTTGAGAGAATATATTGTTGCAAATTCCTTTGGTGAAAATGTTTGAACTCTTGCACATACACCGAGACTGAGGTGTGTATATATATATACAATATATATATGTGTGTTATATGCTTCAAGCTATAGCGATTTGGTGTGTTATAATTTATATATAATATTATTTTTATTCATTTATGCTATTTGGCGTTTTCTAAGGAAATTATATTAACTACAAGGTGGGATTACTGGTCATTGGAGACATAATACTGATGACTTTCTTACATTACATGCCATTGCATTCTATTATCTGGATTAATAGGTCATTATTAGTACACTGCATAATTCCAAATTTCAGGCAACCTCAATCGGCCACGTGGGCGGCACCGCATCGGTCAACGGAGTTCCGAGTCAACTTCATCTCTTCCTTCCTTGGCTCCTCCGGTTGCCGCATAAACTAAAAACCTAACTATGCATATATATACATATATATATACATATATATATATATTAAAAATTTTAAATTTAATATTAAAATTTGAATACTTAAGTCAGTAATTAAAAATATTTTTACTATCGTGTGTATATGCATATATATATATATATATATGTAGTGCAATTATATAGTTTCAAAATTAATCTCCATCGGTCAGGGAAAAAATCTATCTATCTATAGATCACTCATTCCCAAGGAAAGTTGGGATCATATACAGAATCATAATATGATTTTAATGTAAGAAAAGTGCAAAATATATTATAGGACGATAAAGTTCATAAATTTCTGCATATTGATACACGCACAAAAATTAATTTAATTTTATCATTTGAAGCACACGATGAACATAAAACCGTTATGAAAATTACGTTATATATATATATATATATATATATTCAAATTCTTCAAAATTAAAATTGCTGATGTATATATTTGTCACAAATTTATCAATCGGGTTGGGGACATATTGTATAGCAGCAAAAGAGGACTCGGAACACGCGAGGTCGGCGAAAATACTTAATATGGATTGTGATATATATTCAATCAGAGCATTGGTAATCGATTTTTAAATGTTACGAGTTGCTTTCTTTGACTCTGGAAATATATAACCTTGCTATAAAACTCTCTCTCTCTCTCTCTATATATATATATATATGTATCATATATGGGAAAATGCTGTTATGTGTATTTTGTTTGATATTTAACACGATAGTGTTAAATTTGGATTATGAAATGGCCTTTCAAACCCATCAAAAGAAATTAAAATAGTATTAATTTGTTAATGTTAAAAGGTTTACTTTCTTGGACGATGTATTTAATTAATTTAATTGATAATTAAAATGAATTAAGATTAAGGAGGTCACAGGAAAAAATTCTCAAACAACATTTGGAGTAGCTCTAAACAAAAAAACAAAGTAGAAAATGATGATTAACCAAAAGATTTTTTTTTTTTTTGCGATTTCTTTCAATTTTGGCTATTCAAAAATATATATACATATATCTATATATTACCGTATAACTACTTTGTGATATTAAATTACAGAAACAAAGAGACAAGCAAGCGAGAAAAGACGACGACACGTAACTCAGGGACAGTCCCCGTTATGCTTCACGTCTCTTGCTAATGTAACATGTTTGAAAAAAGGAGCAGGAAGAATGTGAAAACGAACCGATTTAATAATAAAAATAGAAAAATTCAAATAAAACTTTTATATAAAGGTTTCAGAAAGTCAAAGGAAGTGACCGGGTCCCACGGGTGAGGTCAACAAGTTTACCGGGGAACACAAGGTGATCGTGGAACACTATGCGGGTCCCATATCCGGTCGCCGGTCAGGATGGCACCTGTTAGCTAAGCCGGTCCGTCAATTTCGTTGACCTAGCTCCTGTCTTTTTTTTTTTCCTCCTTTTATTATTTTGTTTTTGCTTAGAAGTTAGAACGATTTTATATACAATTTTCGTGCCTAATATTATATAATTATTTTTTTAAAACAATGAAAATATTTTAAAATTTATAAAATATTATGTATCTTCTATTTGTCCTCCAAAAAAATATATACATAACAATTAAACATGAATCATAAGTTAAGCCGTGGAATAAAAGAGTCAATAGTACAATGCGGTTCGAAGATGATACATGCATTCTTTAATGCAGCATGTGATGGCACTATATGGGATTCATATTTACTTTTGTATTTTCATCTTCTTACACGTCCATCTTTACGAAAAAAAGAAAGAAAAAAAAGATATTCATCATAATTTCAAGGCAATATAGAAAAAAGCCTGCAGCTCCATGTCATGCAAAGTGTAACAAAGAAAATTCGTTTTTACTCCAAATATGGATCCATAATAATATTAATTGGGATGGAAATGGTCGGTTTTCAACGTAAAAGTAATGTACAAAATGCATAGTCTTTGATTGGACCATGTAAATATAAATACTACTTAGACCCTAACCCTACAAAATTCTTTCACAAAAAAAGAAACAAAAAAAAAAAGAATCAATGACTAGAAGGAGAAATTTATTCGGAACTTTAAGAATTGTTAAATGGTCAATTTAAAAGGCGCGCACACACACATATATACATATATATATATATATATATATATATACACATTAATTCACTCAAGTAAGAGAGGTACACAAGTTTCAAACCAAAATTCTTCCTTTTTCAGGGTTTTCATATAAGAACTAGTCCTATGGGTCTACTCTCTTATGTCAACATTCACACGTATGTATGTATGTATGTATGTATGTATGTATGTATGTATGTATGTATGTATGTATGTATGTATGTATGTATGTATGTATGTATGTATGTATGTATGTATGTATGTATGTATGTATGTATGTATGTATGTATCGTTGAGTCTAAACACAAGGGTCATTTTTTCAATTAAAAAAAAGTTGGAATAGACATTGTATCAATCACGTGGAAGGCGCCGCTCCGGTCGCGGACGGTGATCATTTTTATCCTATGATCTACGAATGAGTCAAAGCTCTTTCTTAAAGGGAAAATTGCAAATAATTCAAAGACAATTTATAAAAAAGGGAGAAAAAATCTATTTCATTACAACAAACTTCCATCTAAATTTGTTATTTGTCTATAAATAGGTTTATATAAACGTAAATATCTTTGAATACAATTTAATTCTCTGCGGCGTCTTGACTATATCAAACTGTATTTTTCAATTTTCGATGATTATCTACATCAATTAGCATTTAGCATGCTCTCTAAATTCAGAAAAATTAAACAGATGAAAACACACAAAATCGAATAAACAGTTCTATATTAAAAATAATAATAATTAATTTTATGTTTAAAATTTCATAGGGTATGAGGATCCTTTAGGCATTTGTCAAACGAGACTTACGAGTAACTAAATTTTGGTGTATAATATAGAAGCAGCTGTGACTAAAGAATTACTTGGAGGATGAATAAAACTACGCAAAAAAACAAAAAACGATATGCGGTCTCTTGGGCATAGATAAAACGGCACGCGGTGTGGTGTAAGTTGTTGAAAAAACAGCAACACGTCCGAAACAGAGAGGGTAAAACGTCGTCAAAGCGGTTGATTCAATAGTGTAGGACCCACGTCCATTGCCAGGTGGCAGACGAATGACGCAGACACTGACGCCAAAAGCGATCCAAAAATCTCAACAAATCTTCTGAGGGAATCCAAAATAGCTTTGAAACCGTATACACATATATACATATGTATATATGTAGATATTATTATTATTATAAAATTACACATATCTCAGTCCACGTCAAAAAACCTGTTTTATAGCCGAAGCATTTGGTCCGGTAAGAGACTTTCACCAGCTCTCTCTCTCTCTCTCTCTCTCTTCACTAGTGGCCACAAATTTTAACACAGTCTCCGATCTGTTTCTCTCTCTAGGCTCTCGGCGAAAGATCTGTCTAAGCTCTTTCTTTGATTTTTCTATATATGGAGAAAGGGTACAACAAAGGGTACGGAACAATCACACTCGATTCTTCCGATTGTACTTTCTTGCCCGGCAAGTCACCTCCTTTTCCTAGGGTTTCAGATTCCAGCCTCCTTCTTCATAGTAGTCATCACCACGATCTCAGTGGTAACAGTAACGCTGACAACCGAGATATGTTCCGGTTTCCCATGAGTCTCGGTGGTCCACGCGGCGGCGGAGATCTCCGTCAGGGTCAGCCGCCCCCGGCTGATGAGCACCGCGTGGCCGTCGATGAGGTTGACTTCTTCTCGGAGAAGAGAGATAGGGTTTCACGTGATAACACAGCCGACGAGACCAATAGAGTTCACGTTAAAATGGAGATTTCACGTGTCGAAGATGATGACCGCTCCAGAGATGTAAATGTATGCTTTCTATTTCTTTTCTTTGTCTTTTATTTTCAAATTTATTGAGGTATATACTGTGTTAGATCGATTAAATATTTCGGAAAAGAATTTGAGATTGTAATGCAGAAAACTCGTGAAGATATGGTTGTATCGATATGTTAATTTTTATATACATATATGTGTATGTATATATATGTTTATATATATTACGTGCTGTATATAGATCGGATTAAATCTTCTGACGGCAAATGCGGGAAGCGACGAATCAACGGTAGACGATGGATTGTCAATGGATATGGAGGAGAAACGTGCAAAGTCTGAGGTGATTTAATTAATTAATTAGTTGATGCGGTCTTCTTCTCCTCCTCCTCTATTTATTGCTAACCCCCAAAAATAATTCAATTCAAACTTGTAGTCACACTCTCGCTTTTAATCGTGTGAAATTAACAGATAACCGACATCCAATTTTTATTTTTATTTTTATTTCTGTGTTCATTAACCATCATAAATTAATAAATGAATGAATGAATAATAATTTTATTTAGTTATGGCGTGTATATATATATATATATTAAAGCAGATGGTGCAATTGCAAGGAGAGCTACAAAAGATGAAGGAAGAGAACCAAAGGCTAAGGGAGATGCTGAACCAAGCAAGCAGCAACTACAGCTCCCTGCAGATGCAACTGGTTGCCGTCATGAGACAACAAGAACATCGTAACTCCTCTCAAGACCATCTCCTGGTATACTTTTATAACTAATGTTTATATCATGATACGAATCATATATATACATACACACATGTACATGTATAATACACATATCTAACCATCGGTTCTAACTATGAAAGGGAAAGGGCACGTTTTCCACTTTGATTATAACGAAGAGCTGAAAGTTTCGGATTCGTATGTTAATATCTAAACGATAAGATTACATTTTGCATGGATCTCGTAGATTGTTCAAGAGATATTTTTGACAGTGTATATATATTTATATAGACATGTATAGAACGAATATGTACGTACGCACATACGCACAAAGATTTATACTTTTTGTACGGTACAAACGATTAATGATTCAGTTGAAATCAGGGTGCGGAGGGGAAATCGGACGGCAGGACAAGGCAGGAGCAGCCGGCGATGGTGCCAAGGCAGTTCATCGATCTTGGACCTTTGTCCTCTGCGGCTGAGCATGACACCGAAGTGTCTTCGGAAGAAAGGACGACGGTCAGATCGGGATCTCCCCCTCCGATTCTCGAGAATTCGAATCAACGAGATGACGGAAAGAGGTTGCTTGGGAGAGAAGCAAGCCCCGAAACCGAATCCAACGGATGGGGAAACCCCAAAAAGGTCCCCAAACACAATCCTTCCGGCAACGGGAATGGTAATGTAATCGATCAGTCGGCTGCCGAAGCCACCATGCGAAAAGCTCGAGTCTCAGTTCGTGCCCGGTCCGAAGTTCCCATGGTAACTACTAGACTATACATATAACTTCGTATGGTAGATAGAAAATTCAACTATCTTGTAATATTTTTGGGGCCTAATATATATAAGAACATTTTTTTTAGATAAGCGATGGATGTCAATGGAGAAAATACGGGCAGAAAATGGCGAAAGGAAATCCATGCCCACGAGCTTACTATCGTTGCACCATGGCCGTTGGTTGCCCCGTCCGCAAACAAGTACGTTACTTCCACTCATACATATAATGTAATTTGATTTCGTTCCTATGAATATCAATTACCATGGAAAAAAATCGATATAAGAATAATCAAATATGAAACCTGACATGATATATATGTTGGTGCAACTTTCATCTGCATGTCTTAGTTGCAAGTGTAATTTGCACAATATACAAACATGTAATGTGTATATATTACTCAAATTCAAATATATGGAACTAAGTCTCTAACACATGTTGTGACGTTATATATATATATATGCAATGATAGGTGCAACGTTGTGCGGAAGACAGATCTATCCTCATTACAACCTACGAAGGGAACCACAACCATCCACTTCCACCAGCCGCGATGGCCATGGCCTCAACCACGACAGCTGCAGCCAGCATGCTTCTCTCCGGCTCGATGGCTAGCCAAGAAGGCCTCATGAACCCTACGAACCTCCTGGCTCGAGCCATCTTCCCTTGCTCCTCCAGCATGGCCACGATCTCAGCCTCCGCACCTTTCCCAACCATCACACTAGACCTCACCACCAACTCAGCAAACGCAGGCAACAACCCCAACCCTAACGCAACCGCAACAGCAACCGCTAACAACCCTTTGCTCCAATTCGCGCAGCGACCCGGTTTCGCCGCGTCTGCGTTGAACCCCTCGGTGCTGCCTCAGGTGGTGAGCCAGGCTCTGTATTATAACAATAACCAGCAGTCCAAGTTTTCCGGTCTGCAGTTGCCGGCTCAGCCGCTTCCGACGGCGGCAGCCCCCGCCGGC